GGTACATTTTAGTTTGAATGCAAAACATGCAAAGGACAACATGCATCAGTTTCTCCAACGCAGATCCATCACATTCCTCCTTCACACTGGAACATAAGTTGTTTCAAAAAGGCAGTCTTTTCAAGGCTCTGCTGGGTTGCTGTCTGTACCACCAGCCTAGCAAAGCTGCAAGAATAATCTCAAGAACTTCATGCATCTTTACTTTAGTTTGTGGAGATTTCCAGGATTTAAGCCAACCTCCATCTCTCAAGATAACAGGTAGATTATCTGTTTTTAGATAGCTATAAGAAATAACCCCGTCTTATGAACTCATGTCCAGCGGCGGCACTACAGCCACCAGAAGTAGCAAAAAGATTCAGCTGCAAAAAAGTGCTCATTTTTCTGATCAGGAGAGCTCACCAGAATTTGCAAAGTGCATCCCTATATCTTGTACTCTAGGGCAGTGGTCCCCAACTTTGGGCCTCCAGATGTTCTTGGACTTCCACTCCCAGAAATCCTGGCCAGCAGAGGTGCTCGTGAAGGCTTCTGGGAGTTGTAGTCCAAGAACATCTGGAGGCCCAAGGTTGGGGACCACTGCATTAGATAATATACCGCCATTCAGTCTTTCTTTCCCTGATCAGTTTCTCCAACGCAGATCCATCACATCTATTTGTGGTATTTCAGGCTCTGTTGTTTCAAAAAGGCAGTCTTTTCAAGGCTCTGCTGGGTTGCTGTCTGTACCACCAGCCTAGCAAAGCTGCAAGAATAATCTCAAGAACTTCATGCATCTTTACTCTAGTTTGTGGAGATTTCCAGGATTTAAGCCAACCTCCATCTCTCAAGATAACAGGTAGATTATCTGTTTTTAGATAGCTATAAGAAATAACCCCGTCTTATGAACTCATGTCCAGCGGCGGCACTACAGCCACCAGAAGTAGCAAAAAGATTCAGCTGTAAAAAAAGATGACATGATATAAATGGAAAGAGCTTAGAAGCAACAACATCAAAACTAAGAATTTAAAGGGTAACTGACTGCTTGTTCGCTAGGAAGGGTATAAGCTTGCCTCCCTTGAAAATCAAGTAGCAATTGTTAATACTCCTTTTTCATCATGTGATGAGCAATGTTTACTCAATCCTTTGGATGGGTGCGCTTTTTTCAAATGTTGGAATTTTTACATTGATGGACTGCAAACGGAACTAAACAGCAGTGAAGAAGCAATGAGTTATTTAAAATAAAAATTAAAAATTGACTGCAAATTTAACTGTAACAAGCTAACTGTTGTAAGTGTGTGTTTGTGTGTATCCTATAATGGGTGACCTTATGAATTTCTTTTAAAACAATTATTTTCCAAACTCTGGCCAGGGGACACTCTTTACTTGATTTCCAGTTGTGCGATTCTATATAGAATTTTCAAACAAACTAGAAAAAAACTTACGCAGTTCTTCTGGCAAATTACTTGTCTTCAGGGTTCCTCTGACTGCAGGGTTACTCCAAATCCTTGGGACAGCAGCTGGGTTCAGTGAGCTGTTAACCTGAGCCAAAGAATCAGGAGGACACCTATGGGCATCAGAGGGTTTGGTGGATGCTCCTCCGTGGGGCTGCCAGTTCTGAAACTGGGCTCTAGGAAGGAAATGAGGGGTCATCGGTAAATTATTTAAACTTCTAAACCAGCCATTCTCAACCTTTTTTTTTTGGCCACAGCCATAAACACAATATTAAAAAAAAGAGAGAGCCAAACCAGGATTATATCAGTTGAATAACGAATCTTATAATGTGATGTGTGGTGAATAATTTCCAGACTGTGGCCCCCTTCAAATGTGCCGGGGGGGGGGCAGGAGGCTATATGGCCCCAGTTGAGAATGGCTGCTCTAAACGATTCTAAATATATTACGCCCTAATTTTAACACTGAGGTTGTCTTCCTTTTTATTCCAAAGGCACTTTAGCATTGACAAAGGTAACCATGAAAAAACAGATAAACAAACAGAAAAGATGGCCTGACACACAGCCCAAAAGGAGGTGGGGAAAACCCACAGGGGTGAACATGGTTGTGTTTATTGTACACTCATTTGTTTAAATCCAGCCTCATCGTACAAAAAAAGAGGAAGAGTTGGGAAAATGGGAAAATCTTAAATTTCCTTCTTATTGAGAAAAGCATACAAAGGAAAAACAGAAATTACTGAAGGAGAAATTCAGATACAGTTGCCAGTATGCTATGCACTAAACTAAAGTACAGTTCCTCTCATTTTTTTATTCCTGCAAGGAAGAATTTATTAATCAGTCATTCGGTCACAACACCCTCTTGCTTTTATGGGGCAAATCTCTAGATTGTATAACTACAAGTCAGAGATTGCTGGAGCAAACATGGACCACTCTGCCTGCAGGGCAGTTATGCTGTTCTTTAGGAAACACAATTCTGTCCATAAATGTTAAGTGGGCACCTTTCCATCCACAGACTCGCTTCGTTTTTAAAAGAGTAGACCCCCAACTCTTCCTTCACTTATGACTGGGACACACTTGACATCCAGAAAATGTGTGTAGTTTTAAATGACTACAGTACATTGTTTTATATTATTCTGAGGGCTTGTAAATCACCTTAAGAACTCCTTAAGTCATGTGAAGCAATACGTAAGTTTAATAAATTAAATTCAACAAGAACTGCACCATGCAAGAGGTGATCTTCATGAAGAAAACCTGCCCTGTGTGTCTCCAAAAGTACCACTGCCATCCCACATTTACTACTATAGCAATGGGATTTTTTTTCCTGCTCAGTGGAGATTCAGTAGAATAAGAGGCTGTGCTAGGAAGTGACCTCATACAGATAGCAAACACAATGAGTTCACATCTTTTCTCAACTTATTTAATAATTATAGATGAGTATAGAGGGGAGTATAGAGCTTGTCCCAGCTCCTGCCAACCTAGATCAAAAGCATACAAATGTGAGTAGATAAATAGGTACCACCCCAGTGGGAAGGTAACGGCGTTCCGTGTCTAGTTGCACTGGCCGCGTGACTACGGAAACTGTCTACGGACAAAACGCTGGCTCTATGGCATGGAAATGGGGATGAGCACCGTGCCCTAGAGTTGGACTCGACTGGACTAAATGTGAAGGGGAACCTTTATCTTTACCTATAGAGGGGATAAGGAAGAGGTGGAATGCACAGCAACAGTTTCACACCAAAATACAATAAACTGACTTTTTCCATCATAACACTTTACTTACAATATATGGAATAAGCTTTAGTTTTAGTAGAAACTTACTGGAATCTCTGAAATTCTGCAGAAAAGCTCTCTCTATCTGGGAGTCTTTCTTCATTGCACTTCCGGGAATAAGGACTAGAATAATTTGGGATTATTCTTTGAGCAGGATGGATGAATCTTCCACATGGGCCAGGAGCAGGGTTGAGATGAGGTGGATGTGCAAAATGCAGATAGGGTGTTTGCCCATCTAACAATGAAAGAAAATAAAGACATATGTCACACTTTCTACAACATATTTTAACATAGTATTTGATGGCTATGATCAAACACAGTTATACATACTTAAGCACACTTGACTCAATAGACTTAGTGATTCCATTCTCCCTGTGTTAGAGTATATCATTTGGAATTTCCAGGGCCAAACCAACACATTTTACTGCCTGGAGGATAAAGTAGAACCTTCCCCATTTCACAGAGAGAAATTAGCCAGAGTCATAGCTGATGCCCAAGTGGTAATGATAAGGCTAGTCCTGGTCATTTCAGATAACATTTCTGCTGTCCAGAAATGTTCTGTTCTGCTGGTTGATGCAAGGTATGTAATGCTAGCTGATTTAACATTTTCAGAATTGCAAGATACCTTCACCATTCATGTGATGGAAATACATTCACAGTATATTCTCAAAGGAAACAATCAATTTAAATGCCACAGAAGGCAAGTAGTATATCACCTAACATTGTGACATAAGAACATCTTGGCAATTAAGGAAATTGAGACTCAAGCCCAAAGTGCAGAGAAACCCACTCAGATTTATGAGAAAAAGTGCCATGTGCTATTTAAAAAACTGCCTGCACACAGCAATCAGATTTTTCTCCACAACAAACTGGTTTCTTTTACAGACAAAAACCATGGGCACAACCCAAGGAAAGTGAAACAATTTTAACACACATAAATTTCCATGGTAGTGTGAGTGATGGATACCTTTACTGGCATAATAAATACATACAAACATACAAAGGGTACAGAATACAGCTTATGGAAACAGATCAAATATGAGAAAGCGCTATGGGATAAACTTTATCAGGCCACAATTCATTTTAACCCTCGCTCCTTCTGGGCGTTAGCGAATGGGTCTTTCAAAGCGAAAGGTCACGATCCCAAGGCAGTCCCTGTCTACGACTGGAAATTGCACTTCTCAAACCTCTTTTTTGACAACACAGCCTCTTCGTCCGTAGAGGCTTCCGAACCATTTGCCACCCCGAATTGGCTGCAAGTGTCTACATCAGAAATTAAAGTCCTAATCGCCTCACTCAAGACTGGTAAGGCGGCTGGTCCTGATATGATTATGGGAGAATGGTTGAAATCCAACCCTGATTTCTGGGCCCCTATTCTGGCAGGACTTTTTTCAACGGCAATTACCAGTGTAATTCTTCCGGAATCCTGGAGGCAAGCCATCGTTGCCCCTATATACAAAAAAGGGGACCCTTGTCTCCCGGAAAATTACAGGCCAATTAGCCTCCTCTCAATAGTAGGCAAGTTGTATGCCAATTATCTCTTGGTCCATCTTAATACTTGGATCACCCAGAATAACATCCTAGGCATTGAACAGATTGGGTTTAGACCAGGCCACTCCACCTTGGACCACTGTGCTGTCCTGTCCCATCTTGCTTATAAGTATTCCATAAAAGCCAACTCAAAATTATTTGTAGCTTTCCTTGACTTAAAAGCTGCCTTTGACAGTGTTGACAGGCAGTTACTCTGGTCCAAGCTGGAGAGAACCGGAATTCCTTCTAATCTGATTAATCCCATCAGGCAAAGCAAGCAAAATGCTACCTCCAGGTTGCAACAAGTCAGTTGGTTTGGGTTTATTCGGCGTTGAAGAACTACTGACAGTGCTACAAGTATAAGAGCATCTTAGCAATTTCACAATATGAAAAGCAAAACCCCCAAAGAGCAACATAACAAGAAAGGAGAGAAATGCTATCAAGTCCCTAAATTCAGATCCGGACATCATCATTCTGCCAGCAGATAAAGGCAACGCCACAGTAATAATGGAAACAGAAGAATACAAGGACAAAATCAGGGAACTTCCAGACCCCACCACGTACAGAAAACGGAAACGGGACCCAACCAACAAAATCACAAAACAAACATGCTGATCAGCAGTTCCTCCCTGCACCCCAACATTCTTCAACAAACCTACAGGACAGAAGCTCTCCCACCAAGACTATACGGACTCCCCAAAATCCACAAAGACTCAATCCCACTCAGGCCCATTGTAAGTGCCATCGGCTCCCCAACATATGAATTAGCAAAATACCTAGCCACCCTCCTACAGACCCACTGCGGTTGAACTTTAAGAAAACAGAAATAATGACCACAGAAGAACTACACAACTTTCGTGCTGACAATGAAGAAATTGAAATAGTTAGAGATTTTGTATACTTTCATTCAGTCATCAATCCAAACGGAGACTGCAACCAAGAAATCAGAAAAAGACTGAGACTAAGAAGGGCAGCAATGAAGGAGTTAGAAAAGATAATCAAGTGTAAGGATATGTCACTGGACACTAAGACCAAGATCATGCACGCTCTTGTATTTCTGATCACCATGCAAGGGTATGAAAGCTGGAGAGGGAAAAAATTATTCATTTGAAATATAATGCTGGATGACAGCTTTGCAGATACCCTGGATTACCGGAAAGGCAAACAAGTGGTTCCTAGATCAAATCAAGCCTCTCGAGGCAAAAATGTTGAAACTTAGGCTGCACTAAGACCAAGATCATGCACGCTCTTGTATTTCTGATCACCATGCAAGGGTATGAAAGCTGGAGAGGGAAAAAATTATTCATTTGAAATATAATGCTGGATGACAGCTTTGCAGATACCCTGGATTACCGGAAAGGCAAACAAGTGGTTCCTAGATCAAATCAAGCCTCTCGAGGCAAAAATGTTGAAACTTAGGCTGTTCTACTTTGGGCACATCATGAGAAAGCAGGATTCTCTGGAAAAGCCAATAACGCTGGTAAAGATAGGAAACAGCAGGAAAAGAGAAAGACCAAATACGCGATGGACTGACCCCATAAAATAAGTCACAAGCTTTACTTTACAAGAGTTGAGCAGTGCAGTTGGGGCACTGCTCAACTCACTCAGTCATAGGGTCACTCTAAGTCAGAGGCAACCTGATGGCACATAACGGCAACAACAACAACAACATATATGGAAATCTTGTATCAGGTTTTTATAGCAGAAAACATGAAGTATTATTTTACAAAAGGACACCCCTTAGCAAAAGGGAGCGGGGAAGTACTGTACTACCAATGCCCAATTAACTTACGTGGATTCTGGTAGTATGTATCACCAGGATTGTAGTATCTAGGATGCCACTGAGCCTGTGGAGAAACATTTGGATGAGGTACCCGTGGAGCTACAGGATATGGCTGAGGATCCATGTGTGGATACTCTCTGGATATCAAAGGCCTTGGAAGGTCCTGCAGGTTAAAGACAGATGTCAATGGCAATGGAGGTTCCAGCTGCCTGATGCCCATAACATCCAAAGGTTGGGAATCATATCCTGCGTCTTCTGTTTGTAGGTCTAGTGGTGAATGATTATCCAGAGGCTGGCTTGATTTTGCATTCTCCTGACCTTCACTATGTGAATTGTGAGAAATACCTAATGAAGAACCTCTGTGCAAATTACCACCATTGTGCCCAGTGTCAAGAAAATCAGCTGAAGGTTGAGATTTCAACAATTGGTTGGCTGGATCAGAAGAACAAAAATAAACTCTGGAGGAGGCTGTTGATTCACTGGATGGGCCAGGAGATGTCTCCCTTCTGGAAGCCTGGTGGTTTTGTTGAGGAACACTGTCATATGCTTCTGCTGCAGCACTGTCATGACCTACGCAGTTAAGGTGCTTGCAGAAGCATGGTTGCCCAGCTACTGCATGTGAAGTGGCGTGAGACAGACAGGATCCCATTGATGCCAGGTTCTCTATATTTTCATCAGATGGTGAATGTTCTGTAAATAGGGACCAGTCTCCCGATTCATCCACTTCGACTGGTATACTTCGACCCATTGCAGAAACTAAAAGGAGGGAAAACAGAAAATAAGATATAACTTCCTGATTTGCTCTATGTCAGTGGCTCTTGGCCATTTCATAGCTATATCCCCTTTTGATAAACATAAAAATTGTATGCCCTTTTAATAATGTCCTCATTCAACACCTTTATGTGGAATCTGATATGCTGCAAAAACACACACAAATATTTGTAAATGTACAAAGCATTTGGAAACAAGGGTTACTATTTGGCAGCAGAGGAGAGGCACACTTGGTGGGGGGAATTTTAAATGCAGTGGATGTACAAGGGTATGATCCCTTCAAAAGGAACTCTACAATGCAGAGATAAAGCAAGATCACAGGGGCACTACTATGTGTCACAACATGATGAAATAAGTTGTGGACTAAGAAAGCAATGGGATTTTTTTTTTTCATTTTCCAGATAAAACATTGTAACATTCAATTTGCGTTTGTGAAATAAGTTGTGGACCAAGAAAGCAATGGGATTTTTTTTCATTTTCCAAATAAAACATTGTAACATTCAATTTGCGTTTTCAAACTACATATGCCACTCTTGAAAGCGCACCTGCCCCACTGAGGTTAAAAATCACTGCTGCATGGAACATCGTTTGCGTGATTCAGGCAGGGGATGTACCTATGAGCAAGGGTATGCCCCTTGGTAGGTACCCAGTTTAAATGCCTACGTCAGGCACAACCCACCTTGAGTGCTTCTTCCTCAATTCTTACCCTCCCCCCCTCTCCCAAATCCTCTTCATCTTGACAACAAGGTGAGCAATTTTTAAACCTCTATGAAGGAGTCGTTTTAGCAGATGGTAGAGAGAACTGTTTGTTTTAAATTGGCATTTTGAATGCCTGAATCTCCCCCTTAGCATTTCAGAGGGTGCAAGGTCCCAAACTAATTGTTCATGTATCATGTTTCAAGATTAAAGAAACAAAGTCAGGCTTTCACTAGTGGAATGGTGGAAATCAATAGAAATTGAGTAATTTCCTTTTCCACGGTAATTTCCCCAAACTGGTTCATAAAAGGTTGCAGCAGCAACAGCAGCAGAAGACATTTCTGATTGTTCTACCTGCAGAACATCAGCGATAGGTCCAAGCAATTATCACAATTATGATACATTTTATCAGCTCTAATTGAATGGCTTCTGAGTATGAATAGTTTTGTATAATGGTACACCTACCTGTTAAGGAAGTCATTTCAATATTCCAAATGAATTCCGTGGAAATATGTACCCCCTGGAAATGGAAACTGAAAGGCAATGAAAAAATTTGACCACTGAGGATTACAGCAAAAGGTTTTGAAAAATCAAACTACTTTTAATCGCAAGATTCTAAATTCAGAGCACATAAAGGGGAAGAAACCTACTTCTTCAGGCCCAACAGCACACCCTGCGGAATACAATTATTTATTACAAGAGGTGGAGCAGGAAATAGTTCATCTCCCTTAAGGCGTCTTTCTTTGTCTTGTTCAAGATACTGTGGATGTGACCAGACCAGGATTTTTCTTTCTATTTGATCTGCTCTGGTGATGGACTCATTTGTTCCTTTTTCCAGTGACCACACAACATACAGCAAGTGTCACTGAGAACCTGGATGCATATCTTTTATGCATGCCTACCTGAACCTTTTGGACTCCCTGTCGGGGGAACTGTTTTTTTTTTCATGTGGGTAGGATCACTCCGTTTTGGTTTCCAACACATGCAATCACTGGACTTGAACCAAAGGTTAAGCAGTCAGTGATCCTTGGAAATTTAAAGCTTCCTCTGTTCTTCTGCAGATGGGGCAGAGAGAGGAAGCAAAGTTTTTTTAAGGCCTTGTAGGGCAGTGCTGATGTGCTGTGTCTTTTAGGGGAAAAAACAGAAAATTGAAAACAACTTCTTAGAAGGAAGAGGAGAAAGGACGGGATAAGGAGGCAGATCTTTTTGTTGTTGTTTTATAATGTTTTTTTTCTTTTTTTTTCTTTCCCAACCCAAAACCACCAGATGGCATACTGCACCTCTATGCAACCTTAAACAACATTACAGTATTTATTCTGATCCATCCTGCTCTAATTTCATTGTGTAGACGCACCCTGTGCCATCCCAGATGAAATGAAACCCTGCTCCTCTTCTTCCTGCATTTGTTATGTGCTACACAAAACAAAACAAGCAGTCAGCAATAGAACAAAGTCCAGACATTCCTATTACACAAGAACAGTGCAGGCTCCATGGAAGAGAAGCAGCATTGCCAGTGTATCTTATGAAAAAACTCAAAACAGAAGTAGTTCTGGAATTTTTTATGGAAAAAAATCATAAACGCTCTAAATATATCATGTTTTGCTTTAGCACCTTCACTTGATTTGTGTTTAGTAAATAATGTTTATATGTTCCAGCAGCTTATAAACATTTAACTGGAGTATCCGATACAGCGATTTTAGACTATAGATTCAAATCCCTATAGATATGTGTACAGTGGTGCCTCGCGCTTCGTTTAACAATGAAATCGCATAACGAAGTCTTGGCGATCGCAAAAGCGATCGCAAAACGATGTTTCCTATGGGGTTTTTTTGCGTTGCGATGATCAGTTGCCTGCTTCGCTAACCGATTATCGCAAAACGAAGATTTTCGCACAGCTGATCGGCGGTTTCAAAATGGCCGCCGGGTAAAAAAATGGCCCCCCGCTGTTTTCTGGGACGGATTCCTCGCTGCACGGGCAGCGAAAATGGCTGCGCTGTGGAGGATCTTCGCTGGACTGTGAGTTTCAAGCCCATAGGAATGCATTAATCAGGTTTTAATGCGTTTCTATGGGCTTTTTAAAATCGCTTTACGATGTTTTCGTTCTACAGCGATTTTGCTGGAACGAATTAACATGTGAGGCACCACTGTATAGTGCCATCAAATGAATCTTGGTTCTTGAACCTAACAGTCCCAGACAGTGTCAGTTAAAGGGTTCTGCCTCCCATGTGCAACTTTCTCACACAAACGGCAAATTTGGAAAGCTGTGTTTTTTGAGGGGTGAACTAAACGTGTCATGGGAGCTCCATATTCAGAGCTTCCAACTTTTCTTGCTTTCTCACAAAGCAGCTAGGGCTAGCAACTAGTTCAGATTGGTCTATGGTGCAGGAGTAGCGGAGGGCTAAATCTTTCTTTTGTGGTGTGGCTCCAATCCAGTGATCATCTCCACTGAAAGCTGTGAATAGCCATGGGCTGGAAAATGTACAAGCTTACTCTCCTTCCAAATGACTGTTTGTTTCTCCATTCTGACCTGTGCAGCTCTCTAGTCCAAAAATGCTGGCATTTAATTTGAGAAAGCTCATGTTCTCCACAATTAATTTTCTTGCCAAGTTTGAAAAAACACTAATGTTTTCCAGTAGAGCTGGTTTGATATGTTCCTTCAAACCTCACTCCTTCTGCAGTTACATAAAAGGAAAACTTCAGTATCAAACTAAAACAAATTCAACACAATTTCTCCAGTTTCTGAAGAAGAAAAAAGTACTGAGATCTATATCTACACATCAATAGTCACACAGATTTCAACCATTATAACTTCTGCCCATTCAGAAATAATCACATCAAATATATATTTGCCTCTGGAGAAGAACCTACTTAATTCTGATAAAAAATAACTTTCCAAACGGAGTATTATTTATTGTTTGTTTGTTTTATTTATATGCTGCCTTCCTCCTGATAAGGGGACTCAAAGCGGATCACAATATTAAAAGGAACAGAATTTAAAACAGAGTAAATTAAAGATTAAAACAATTAAACTATATGCTAATTAAAATACAATTGAATAATTAAAAACAAGTAAACATTAAACATACTGTAAGTCTAAGAAGACATTCAGGGATTAAAACATGATTGTTAAAAGCCTGCCTGAAGGCTTTTACAGCTGTTGGTGGCAGGATACAAAAAGGGGGGGATACACCAGAAAGTTAACACAGCCCTTTTGTATCTTCACCCTAGAGTTTGCAAAGTTTATTTTTGGGACTATAACTCCCGGAAACGTCTGGCAACCATGAGCAGTAGCGATACTAGTTTAGGTATCACAGAAGTTAGAATACAAAAAGAGTAACTTTTCCTATATCTGCTAAAATACTCAACTTTGCACCATCTCCCAGGCCTTGAAGCCTTCGTGAGAGAGTTGCTGCTACTTTGGTGGTTTATGGTGATATTTTTGGTGCATGTGTGTCCCTTCCATAAGGACATCTGCCCAAAGAAGAGGCTTATTCTATCTTGTCTGCCTGTGTGCTCTGCTGTTAGAGGGATAATGAGGGTAGTACGTAGGTCTTTCTTGGCTCAAGGCACAGGGTCTGGGGTAGAGGTTCTCTCTTTCGGTAATTTCAGGGTGGGCTTTTGGTCATTTTGCTTTTTCGTTCTTTTCCCTGGCATAGAATGCAAAGGACCATCATTAACCTGTGTCGCTTAGTGGGTCATTTAATGCATTGCTATTGCTGATATTATCAGAACCAGATATTCCTCTTAGTACGTATGTAGCATGCAGAGGTTATTCTGCCTTTTTGATTCCATCAGCCAAGTCATTTGCCAAAATGACAATTTCATTCACTAAATCAGTTTAGCCCTTGAACTCAATCAGGAACACAATGGCCAAATCCAAATCACCAAAACAGAAATCCAACAGAATCATGCTAAAAATGCTATCAACAGAGTGTTTTAAATGAATTATAGTTGAGTTAATGTTATGGTGTTAACAGTTAGAACTGTTACTGCAGTCTTTAAATGTATTTTGTAAACCACTTTAACCGCACTGGGAAACACAGGATGCAAATAAACTACCGTATGACTAACAGAGACAGACAGACAGAGATTCTGCATACGTATAAGACAGAGTGAATTTCACCCTTTACCAAAGAAGATGGGGGGGAAGGGGAGGGGGAGAGAGAAAAAGAAAATAAAGGAAAACAACATAAAGATATTCTTCTGACTTTATTCTCTACTTTTTCCTTTGTCAGCTTGCACTTGTACAGCCAATGCCAAACATAATAGAAATCAATAAACACAACAGCTACTGTCCATAGCAGGGTATAAAGGCGCAAGAGCCAACCCTATTTACAAAAATAAATCCAAACATTATATCTGTGAAACATTACATGTGCAGGACACCACTACTATGCCATATTACTTACAGCCCCCCCTTTCTTCCCTTCCCTTTCTTGAAATACAGAATTGCACAACATTGATTCCTTTTACAAATAATAAACAAGTCTTTGCAGTCTTCAGTGAGCTGTTCTATAGAAAACACAGTCTCTTGTGGGCGGGCTCTTCCAAATCTCACTTGTAAAAGGCCCAGATGTTGAAGCACCACTGCAAGTCTTTTACTTGGCCTGTTGAAATAGCTGAAGGGGGGGGGAAGTACCCCAGGTAGCGTGGGAGCAACATCCTCTAAGCTACAAGAACGCTCTAAGCTCGTAGAACACTGAAGAAGAAGAAGCATCATTCACTGCCAAATGATTATGTCCATGGATAATGAACTGCATACATTTCCGTTTCCAAGGAAGGTAAGGAGAGTGAGCATAAAAAGAGACAAGGGTGCTCTGTTTGGTCAGTTTATCCTGGATGAAACTGTCTGCTCAGCAGGCCTGAAGTCACAACCTAGCAGCCTGAACATTCAAGGAAGCTCACAGACTTGTGCTCAAGCCTTGAAATCTGTGGTTTCCCATTTAAAGGCTTGTGCCAACATTTGAGATCTCCTAAGAATGAATCTGACTAAACTAGCCTGGTTTCAATCATATCTTTTCCTGACAGCAGTTAAGAGAGAATGTGCTATGAAAATGGCACACTAGGTAAATTCCAACTTTAAAGACCTTCAATGTCATGCTATTTAACAGTGTTAAGAAGCAAGCCCATTCCCTCAAAGAGTGTGCATAATATGGGTGTGTGTGTGTGTGTGTGAGAGAGAGAATGAATGTAGTTTTTTATGTTTTCACCACAAGTATTTCTGTTACATTAAAAACAACATGGGATATGTCCCAGGAGGGCAAACCTAGATTTCCACTAACCAACTATTCTGTTTCCCTCTGCATTCAATTCCTTACAGAACTATATTACTTTGCAGAACTATATTATACCCAAAGCACTACTAGAATATTGTAAATCCCTGACAACCAATTTTCAACCAATCCCTTATTTTGAGGTAACCTCCCGTCCTCCTAAAAATAAGAGATACGTTTTAACATCTATCTATTAATAATAATTGGCTGGTGATTGAACATTTCAGAATCAACAAGCCATGTAAAATACAAATCTGAGCATTGTAAGCTCAGCCCAAATTATAAGCAAACATGTACTTCACATTTTTTCTTTTTTAAACAGCAGACACTAGTGGTCGACTCATAGCCATGCTTAGGAGGAGACTTCCATGGGGATTTATTATTTATTTCATCTTCAAATTAATCAAGCTGGCTTAGATCAAAACAATAAACAAGCAGAATAGTAAAATAAGTCTAACATATCAAAACAAACATGTACAGCAACAAGGGAAGCACAGAAGAGTTTTCCTTAAAAATAAGAAACAAACAAATGCCCAATAGAATGAAGAAGATTTAAAAATCCACCAGGATGCCAGATCTCACCTATTCATGCCTGGGGCGCCACTCCTTAAAAGGCCCTGCCCTGCCCCATAAAAAGCAATCAAATGTCCAATAGAAGCCAGCTATGCAGCAGGACCACCAGAATCCATCTTAAGAGTTCAGCAGGGTCTTGTAAGCAAATAGCTAACATGCTTAGACTTAACTTTCTTGTATGTTATAAAATGGCAGTGTGTAACTCCTAAACTTGCATATTTTACTGATCCACAAATGCTCTGTTGTTCTCTATTGTTCTTTTCTAAAACTCCCTACTGTATTTGTGCTGTTGACAGCAATAGTACAGTATCACTAATTTTCAGGAAGACACAAGGATCTCAAGATCTCTTTGACTAGTGCTTTGAGAAACAGCAATTTGCGGCCCTAGTGACAATCCATGTGTTCCTACATGCGAATGTGCACACAGCAACCTGTGTCTGTGTGTCTGATGCTTCTCCCAAATGTGAGGACATCTTTACGTTTAAGTAAATTTGACTGTGCAATCCTGTACCTAACTGATGTGAAGTAAGTGTCACTGATTTCAATGGAGCGTTATCCCGGGGAGCAGAGGATTGCAGCCTATACGTTAAGTGTAGATGTAACTGTTTTGGAGTATGAAAGGCACTGAATCCTGGTGAAGGCAGAGGGTCCAACCTGGGTGCAGCTACGCCTCTGGCTGCTGCTCTTGCCTCCGGGCCCTCTTCTTCTTTCTTTTTACCATGACGCAAATGATTTCACAACACCAGCACAAGACTCCACATTCCCAAAAGTCTTGCTTCTAATCAAATCCAATCTAATTCAACTGCATTTTAAGACGTTACCAAGCTTTTCCACTCAACCATTTTGCTAGTGGAAGAAAAGTAGCAGTAAAAAAAGCAAAAAAATAAATAAATAAAAAGGGAAACACGCCCAGGCAGCCACCAGACCAACCATAGAAGAAAAAGTGGGTCAACAACAGCTCGTCAAACTACAGAAGGGAGAGGACGGCGACGGCCTGCTAATAAGCCCTTACCTTGGACAATCCCAAGAACGGGAAAACCTCGTTTAGAAACAAAACAAAACCAAACCCCCAGAGTCTCCTTTTCCCCCTCATCTCCTGGGATGGTTCTGGGGCTTCTCCGCTCCTCTCCTCCCTCTCCTTGTCCCCGTCAGGTAAGCCCAAGTTGCCGAACTGGCTCGGTCTCTACCAGGAAGTGAAGCCCTGTATGCAAATCATAGCAACCGGGAGGGAGAGGCCTTGCTTTCGGCTGCCAACCGGGCAGCCGGCGAGGGCGGGCTTGCCGACGAGCCCCGAGGAGGCCTCCGTCAGCCACTCGAGAGAGAGAGAGAGGCTGCGTGGCCGCTGGTCCGGGTGGCGGTTGTCTGAGGAAACAAGCGTGTTTTTCTTTCAGCTTTACAGGGAAATTGGTTGTACTTTGATTTCGGCGGCCGGAGTAGGAGACACAGCAGAAGCCACGACACCATGGCTCTTTCTCTTTGCTGTGCGTGGGTCTAAAACCTAGTACTGTATGGAGTTTCCCGGGTAAGGATGTGAGTGGAATGATAACCAACTACTTGTAGTGAATGAGTTTGAAACTATTACTGCAATTAATCCTTTTGCAAAGTTAAACTTTCCAAGCTCTTCCTACCAGGATCAGTATTTTTGGGTGGGTGTAGGAGTTTCACAATGGAAGAACAAAAGGGGATGAGACCTTTATTAACGTGTGCCATCAAGTTGGTTCCGACTTACAGCAACCCTTTCCAGGACTTTCTAGCTATAGACTACTTCAGATCCTGCTTTTCTTGGGGGAGCTCTCTGGCACTGTGCTGCTTGCCTAAGGCAAAGAGGCTGGCTCTTCTCCCAGAAGATACCGGGGAGAATCGAACTCCCAGCTTCAGGTCCTGCAACCATTTAACCAACCTGCCAAGTTATCTAGCTCACGCATTTACTATGCCACAAAATACGTATCAAAAACAAACAGTATTCATGCATTTCGTTTATAGCCTGCCCTTCTCTCAGAAAGTGGCTTTCCAGTCTTGTAGGACTTTTCCCTGGGCTGCCCACTGCAAAATATTTGGAGTAGGAGGAAAGGAAGAGAATACAAAAGTACAAGATTATAGCTTCCCTCTGGGCAGAGAGATTTTGCACTTTTCTGTAGGAGATAAAACCAAGCCTTGTAAGCCTCAGAAGTTAACCTGGTTTTAATAGTTTACTGATCTAAACAAGGTACTCATCCTCATTTTTGCTTGTGCAAGTGCCACCCAGCTTTGTTTGTTTAGAAATGGAAAAGTGCTGTTTTCCTAAAAAGGTATGATTTTCCTAACCCCAGCAGAGGGCTGTGCTCTTCCAGTCTGTTTCTTTCTGATGGCTAGATGGCCTTCTGTCGTCTCATGCATGACCATCTAGTCACTAGGACTTTATTCTTAAACACAGAAACTGTTTTTTTTTAATCATCAGAACATATCCCTCACTCTAAAGTAACTGTTACCTGCAAAATGGGTAGCATGTTCCAAGGGTCTGGCACAGATTGGTTCAGTCAGTGTGAAGATGGGCCAGATTCCCTAAGGTACAGGCATGGTCTCCAAGAGTTGGCATTGGATGGCTGCATAGATGTTTGGGAACTGGGTGGGCAGAACTCTGCTCCAACAGGCCTATCCTGCTTTGCTTCTCTACTGCATCCCAAAAAATGATCCCTGCAACTCTACAGGGGCACTTGGTGGTAGGATGGAGGAAAGCTCTTTAAAAAAATAAAATAAAAATGCAGAGCTGCACTGAACAAGTGGAAGTGCCGTCCTGTTTGAATAAGTCACTGCTGGAGGCAATGGCAGCTTCTCCAGAAGGCATCCTAAGGGGCAGGATCCTAAGTGTTTTTGGCATATTCCCCACAGTTGCTGTAGTCCTCCCATTGTTCCAGAGGATCCCACAATCCCCATCCCCCCGAGTGGGGTGTGTGATTTAGCTGAAGTTAGGTCTCTGTTAATCATGATTTTACTTTCATCCCATTTATTTCAATGGGAGTTACATCGGGGGGCCTTTGGGAGGAAGAAAATTGCTCTTGACATCATTTTGGCCACAGGCCCTAGTCAAAGGAAACCTTGCTATTGCAGTATGTTTGGGAAGCAGGATTTGTCTCCGAGTAAACATGCTGAGGTTCATGGCTCCCATTGTTAGGAAGTAGTGGTTGCCATGAATAGTAGTTTCAGTAATATGTAAGTTATTGTTTGAGTTGCATGCACTTCAGCGAGAGATTAGAGCTAAGCTTCTCTGTTCTACTAAAAAAGAGAGAAAGTGCTGCATTTCCAGTTAACATACTTTCAGGTTTCCTGTAAATCTAGCATGTTCTCTCAGGCAATTTATCTAACAATAAAAATGGGGTAGGAGGAAAGGAAAAGAATACAAAAGTACAAGATTATAGCTTCCCTCTCAAGTTCTCAATGGGACCTTACAGATGTCTACTGGTTCTCTGATCACTCTCTGAAGTTTTCCAGAGTGTCTTTGCAAGAATGACAGCCAGCTAAGGAAAACTGCTCCCCCAGTGTCGGTCTTGTTCATTTTTTAAATAGTCCCTTGCTTTGTTATTGGGACACTTCCTAGACAAGCAGGACATAAGGTACACATTCTGTATTTGCAGAATAGATTTCAGCCTGATATGTTGATCAGTGTGTTACAATTTGTTGCAGAGGATTTTATAGTTTAAAACCTATTGAAACCAATCCTGTGACTTCCTCTTAAAATTAATATATTTCAGTTAAGGTCTGGGTTAGATAATAATTTTATTGGTCAGTAAAGCATTACAAATAAAGTGAGTTTTCTAGTTCCGTGGAGTTTTTCTTCATACACAGCCAATAAAAGTATCACTTAACCCAGAACGTTGTTTCTATAGATGGATCGCATGGCTACTTTTCCTTTATTGCAACGATTGTAGGTAAATTTTGTTTAACATAGGCAGTTGAGTATGTAACAGTAACCTTTGCCTTGTCTTCTGGAGATCAAGTTTTAAACTGGTGTAAATAGTTGAGCTTTGTACTTATGTGAAAGATCTGGGAATGATAGCTCTGTATGATCTGAACAGTGCTGAAGTTCAAGAAGGAACAGTCTTTGGAAGCCTCATTACTAATGCATTTCATTGCATTTCAGGGCGGAATTCCCATTTTAAATTGTGTTATATGTGAGTGTTTAACCCGGTATGAACTGAGTAACAGATTTCAGGTATTGCAGGCCCTACCATTAAGCGATAATAAATGTAGCAACCCCAGACCTACTGGAGTATCCCACCCTGTAGTTATGCTGCCACCAACCATTCGCTCTTCCAAGTCACCCAGACCAGGAATGGATTTTAATAAACAAGAGAACAAGGTTTATTGAAAAAACAAACAGGGTAAATAAAAGGATCAGGTAAATAGGATACTGGAACTTGGTATAGTCCCAATCATACACATACACAACAGATTTCAGGTATTGTAGGCCCTACCATTAAGAGATGCTAAGCTGATGGGAACATGGAACAATTTCTCCCCCTCTAGTGGGATTCACTTCAAGCAGAGGTTAAAGTTAGTTTGATAGTTGTAGGTTTTTCGGACTGTTTGGCCATGTTCTGAAGGTTGTTCTTCCTAACGTTTCGCCAGTCTCTGTGGCTGGCATCTTCAGAGGGCAGGAGTCAGAACTCTGTGCTCTAGTGAAGTTTTGTGGGATAGCTCAGCATTTATAGCTGTGGAAACAGCTTTTGTCCTTTTCAGGAGATTGGGTGATTATGGTGATCAGCATGTTTTTTTTTTTTGTGATAAGGGGGGAGAGATGATCTGTCGCTTTGATTGATGGGTGTCGTTAGCTGGTCTTTTGTGTGCAGTAGTCACCTGCCCTTGTGGCTGGGTAGAGTTCGTTGACCTTTTGCAGGCTGTATTTTTCAGTGCTGGGAGCCAGGCTTTGTTGAGACTGGTGGAACATTAGGAAGAACAACCTTCAGAACATGGCCAAACAGCCCGAAAAACCTACAATGACCATCAGACCCCAGCCGTAAAAGCCTTCGAGTATACATTAGTTTGATGGCTTCATCCTGATGGAGTTTTAGGTAGGAGTTAAAAATTACAAGATCACCTGTCTTTGACCTTTAAATCTGTTTGGGCACCTGCTTTGAATTGATGCTTTGGTTTTCTGTTGTGATTTTATTGTACTTCCCTCCTATTGCAAAGTGGTAATGTTGAATAAATAATAATGAATAAATAGAAATTGTGAGGTGGCAGTCATTTGCCCAACTGTAATCCTGGAATGCTTCCTAGCCCATAATAAGATGTGTTGCACGGACACACTAAGGTAAAGGTAAAGGTTCCCCTTTGGACACACTAAGGTAAAGGTAAATGTTCCCCTTGACAATTTTTGTCCAGTCGTGTTCAACCCTAGGGGGCGGTGCTCATCCCCATTTCCAAGCCATAGAGCCAGCGTTTGTCCGAAGACAATCTTCCATGGTCACATGGCCAGTGCGACTTAGACACGGAACGCTGTTACCTTCCCACCAAGGCGGTCCCTATTTATCTACTTGTATTTGCATGCTTTCGAAATGCTAGGTTGGCGGGAGCTGGGACAAGCGACAGGCACTCACTCCGTCGCGTGGATTCGATCTTACGACTGCTGGTCTTCTGACCCGGCAGCACAGGCTTCTGCGGTTTAGCCCACAGTGCCACCACGTCCCTATCACGGATACACTAAACTTTCTCATTGTCAAGGTGCTGTCCATTGGGTAAGGAGGAAAAGTTGGTGGCATGATTCTGATGCGTTGTGGATGCCTTACTTCAGCATCTGAGATTTTGGAAGTATAGGTCCAGAGAACAAAAAATATCCCAGTTTGCATTTGCAAACACAGGCACCTTGAAAGGCATACTTCACTGTTTCATCACCTATTTCATGACTTGTGTGATTTAACTGTCTTGGATAAAATCCTTGTTGTGCTTTTGGCTCTTTCTGGTTGTGTACTGTCACAGGGGGGAGAGATGGGGAGAGAGAGAAAAATGGCACCAGGTTCTTGAGAATATTGTTGGGGAAAAGCAGGATGACTCTCCTATTCTCTTCGTTCAGTTTCTTGGAGAAATCATTGGCTGTTAACCAGGGATCAAGGCAGTTTGACCTCAGTGCCTTGAGCATCTGTCTTGTGTGAACATATCCCTCATTGATGAAGTACTGTAGATTGAGTCCTGCAAGGTGACAAAGG